TATACTCCGATTATTTGATAATAAAAAAAAATTAATTATGTATGTATGTGATGGGTAGGCACTTGCATTTATGGATGTTTATATTTAATTCATGATGATGAATGTATGGATGATGGATTTGGTCGTTAATTATATGGTTCCATGGATCGCATTAAATTCGTTCAAATTAAATTATTTGTAATTTAATTCGGGATTAGAATTATTGTAATTCTAGGGTTTGAATAGAATTAGGATTTTGATTTTGAATCAAAAGGAGGCTTTGAAGATGCTCAAGAACAGCCCCAAGTTGCCCAGAAAATTTCTGAAAAAAAAAAAATCGCCCAGGCGTGCCCTGAGAGTATCTCAAAAGTTTTATGAAAATTTTTGTTATACACGATCCGCCTCTTCCCCGCACCACCACGCTTCCGCAGCCGGATTGGATTTGGCAACCAATACCCTGACCCTATGCTCGGAAACCTCTCGACCTCTAACCTGCTTCGACGACATGTTTTGAAAATGAAAGGCAAAGAGGGAGTTAGCTCCTAGCGGTCGAGAGGTCCAAAGCGCAAGGTAAGAGAAACATACTACACCGCAAGCCACGGAGGCTCAGAGCCAAGTCCGAGGGCCTTAACGGCGCCCAGGAGGTCAGACATTGCCAACCCCGCCGTCGGCGTAAGGCCGGCGGCACCAGGCAAGGACGTTTTTCCCCCCCTTTTTATCTGCAACACATTTCGACGCAACGGTCGCCGACGAGGCGACCGGACCCACGGGGAAGAACAGGGAGAATGAGGACTTACCGGAGTTGGAGGATGCTCGAATCTGAGAACAATGGACGGTTCAAACACGGAAAATGCATAGAGGAAACGGCTCAGGGGAAAATCCGGCAGAGTAACGGCGTTTTGAAAACTCGGTAGTCAGAAATGCAAAGGTAAAGGGGTATATATACCCGCAAGAGAGGAAGCCAAGGGGTCTTCGAGGAGTCCAAAGGGCTCCAGATCTCGACCGTAGAATTTGAATCGGTCCCATTCGATAGTGGATCCGAGAAGGCATGATCGAACGGCTGGGGAGAGAGCAACAGGAAAGGGCTTGATCTGACGGTGATGATTCATCCCCCCGTCCCACGCGGTGTTAGGGAAATGAGGATGTGACGGTTCATACAATCGACGTGACTGCTCCACTGCCCGAGAAACCAGCCACAATGATCACAATACTCGCGAGCAGCAGTCCTAAACCGCAGAAAGGTCCCTTTCCACGCGGCATCCTCGACGCTGTACAGCCAGGAAAGTCACACCGCGACATTCCAGTCTAAGGGGTAATTGTTACACCATGGTCGAGACATCGACCACTCCTTCGAACGACTGACGCCGAGGACTCCCCGCGGAGTACCGGCTGTTGGCATCGACGGTAAGGCGTAGCAAACGTGCCCTATGCGTCGAGAGATCGCGCAAGAGGAGAGGCGTCGGGCGAGGGCTCTACGTGCTGAGACCGCTGCGTCGAGGGAACATTGTCGGTCCTTTTAGCCAGAAGTCATGTCAACCCGAGGAGGGAAGTATTGATCCGACTGCTACTGCAGAAGTCAGGAAATCAGGCGGCAGGCTGAGAGGATCAGCCGTATTTCCAGGAAAAGTCATCATGAAAGCTCACCTACCCTCACGAGGATCGAGAATAGAAGATGGCTTCCTCCTTGGGAGTCAAGAATATGTAATCGAATGTAGAGGCCTATAAATAGAACGAACGAAACCCAGAAAGAGGTTAGACACCATTGGTATTACAGAGAGAACTTGTAAACATTTGAGAAAATAGTGCATGCACAAGTGGATTATGCACAAAATTATTGCCGAACCACTATAAAATCCTTGTCCCTTCTACATTATTTTACTGCTTATTATTTGATTCGGTGATTAGTGCAACCGTGAGCGTTTTCAGAGAGGTAATTACGATTTGTCGGAAAAATACCGTCAACAGTAGCCATGTTAGTTTTGTGATCCAGCAAGGCATACGCCACGATACACTTGCATTAATACATGCTCTCTCGATCGTCATAATTCATCATATGTGTATCATGTATCTATAAAATAGCTTTATACTGTGCGTATGTATATTTTGACTTTGACAGTGCTGAAAAAAATGTGTATTGTCTACGTGAAAAGTGAATGAGAATGTAAACTAATTTATATACATAAAAGAACTTTAAATTTAATGGATTAATTTTTTGAGTCTAAGTTAAAGTTGTTAAGTATGTTAGGCTAATTTCAATCGTGGTGTCTCCCCAACAGACCGCGACCATATATATTAGAGGGTTGACTTTGTTTGAGTTGCTGCATATACATGCACTAGCCACCGGCCACTAACCCATATACAAGTACCTGTTTTGAGTAAACGCACTAATGTTTATTACCTGCTTTTTGGAAAAAAGTTCGATGGATTATATTCTTTAATTGATTAATTGATATTAGCTTAACACCATCTCAAAACTTTTTTTTTTTTTTTTGATCCAGCCTCCTCGTCACGATCCAAGCCCGGCGACCCAACTCCCGTCGCGACCCAGACCTGGCGACCCACCCCCCCTCAATCCTCATCAAGGATTAAAAGGAAACTTTTTGTCATTTATGAACCCAAAAAAAAAAAAAAAAAATGTTTGTATAGTAGTCAGAACAATGACTCTTTACATGCCCTTATTCAGGACAGGTCTTGCAAAACCTTAACAAAACTTGTTCGACTCCATTCCCACCTCTTGATCTCTGGTCTCCACAAAGACCCACTTGCTTCAACCCAACTCATTGAATCCTATGTTCAAATGGGTTCTCTCCAATCCTCCACACAAGTCTTTGAATCCTTCCCCAATCCAGATTCCTTCATGTGGGGCGTGTGGAACCAGTACTTCTTTGAAGAGGCCGTCAAATTAAATGGTGTACCATGGAATCCACATTAATGGTTTTATATATATTTCCTTCCGTTTTCAGAGCCGTTTCCCATTTTGGTGATGTGGGTTCTGCCGTTGTGGTAGGAAGCTCCATGGGAGGCTAATCAAATGTGGACTTTTAGGTGCAGGAAGGAAGACAGAGAAATGAAGAGAGAGAGTTGTTGCAGAGAGAGATGAGAGATAGAGAGGGTTTTTTTAAGTTTTTGTATTCTTAGGCCTCGTTCATTTCCTTGATTCGAGTTTAGAATTCGAGTTTTGTTACAGTAAAAAGCTCTCACAAACAATCACATTTAACTTTTTTGCTACAGTATAAAGTTCTCACATAAAATCACATCTCAACTCGAATTAAAAACTCGATTCAGCGAACTAAACGGACCCTTAATACTGCATTGCACCTTAAACTAATTACGTGGACAATTTTAAAAAACCGACTGTTTTTAAAAAATAGTAAAACAGTGTAAAATGTCAAAGTTTTTTTTAAAAAAAAGACTTCCTCATTCTCCCCATTCTCTCTCTAATTTCTTCCCCTTAAATCCCAATGACCGTTCACCGTCATCGCCACTCCTCTCCATGTTCGCCATCATCGCCGCTCCTCTCTATGTTCGTCATCATTACCGCCCTTCTCCAAGTTCACATCACTCCATTAGCAAAATTTAGGGCCCGTTTAGTTCGCTGATTCGAGTTTTTAATTCGAGTTAAGATGTGATTTTATGTGAGAGTTTTTTACTGTAGCAAAAAAGTTAGATGTGATTGTTTGTGAGAGCTTTTTACTGTAGCAAAACTCGAATTCTAAACTCGAATTAGCGAAATGAACAGGGCCTTAGTTTTTCTCTTGCATTCAAATTTTTCATTTGCTTTTTTCTTTGTATTTAATTATTTTTTTGTTAGTTAGATTTGTGTTATGTGTACATTGGTGATGAATATTAAGAACAAAACAATTTGTAATATTTTTTTGTATATTGTTATTCTTATTGTTTTGATGAAGTATGAGAGTTTTTTTTTTCTAATGTGTAAATAATATGTGAAAATATTATTGTTTAAAAAAAATAAATTTTGGATATTTTTTATTTTTTATTAAAAGTACTACATTTAATGACGATTTTTACAAAAAACGGTCATTAAAAGTAGTACATTTAATGACAATTTACATAAAAATTATTGTCTAAAGTGCTTTTATTGAACTTTCACGCGCACGTTAGACGACGGTTAAAAACTGTTGTCTAAAGTGCTTAACATTTAACGACTGTGGATAAGATGATGGTTTTTAAACCATCGTCATAGATTTTAACGACGGTTAACCATATGCTATTTCTAGTGGTGATAATGAGTAAACAACAAATGCATACAAATATTGTTGATCAATAAATGACACAAGGGGAAACTAATTGGTAGGAAATATCTCAAGGTTAAAAGAGACATTCTGTTATTATAGCTTCCTTGAGACGTTGACCGTACAATTGAGAGTTACACTGAAGTGCCTAACACATACTCTACAAAATACAAAGATTTAAATTAGTTCAATTTCAATCCCCATATATTTTGAAAAAAAAAACTATTGAAAATACTAAAGAGTGACAAATCCAATGTTAATTCTAATGCTCAACCAAACAATAAAATTTAAATAGTCATATAATCTATTACTATTCTCATCCATTAAAAAAAAAAAAAACGTCCTTAAGTGATTTTTTAGAGTATTTATAGTTATTATGACAAGGAAGGAGAATTACAATAACATAAAATCTGACACAGACAAACTACCCAAATGCTGAGTTAGAATGAATTAAAATTTAAATAGCAGATTTATAGAAAATAATTGAAGTAAATAGTAGATTTTAAAACTATTTAAAGTAAACTATCAGTTTACAGTGTATAAAGCTCAGGAGAGTAGAAAGGGGTAAGTCCAGTCTACCGGGGCCCAAAGATTAGTTAATGGGCCTAAGAACTTTGCCCAGGATCTGATGTGAAGGTCAAGAGTCGAGAGTCGAGAGTCAAGAGTGTAGCTCCGTTCAAATTTTAATTTGGAAAGCAAAACAAGTCGACCGTTGGGGGGATAACACAACAGACAACACGAGACAGAAGAAGTCCATCAAAATTAATTAATTAAAGCAACAGAGAGACGGAAAGAAAGAAAGAAAGTGTTTGGATTTCTCAAAACAAAGAGAAGAATGATAACGAGAAGACGCCATGGCTGGCAACGCCCTCTCCACCCTTTACAGGTACCGTCGTCTTTAAAATCTTATCTAATCTAATTGGGTTTGGAATTAGAGTTATTTACATTTTAGGGTTTTCCTTTTAATTATTTGTCTTTTTTAACTCTCACGCTGATGCAGATGGTGGGAATGGCGATTTACAGTTTCCTGGTGGTGGCCTTCTACACATTCTTAGGGCTTTTCCTCGGTAACAGAACCGCTGTGATCACTGTCACCACCCTCTTCTCTCTCGTCGTGAGTACATACATATATATATATATATATGTATATATATGTATATATATACACATTTTGCTCGCTAAATTATCTATCAAGTTCCGATCCATCTTTGAATTCAAATTGCTAAATTATCTATCAAGCTCCGATCCATCTTTGATTTCATTTGAATTCCCCTTATTAATAATATTCATTTATTTCAGTGCGTTTCAGTCATGTTCCTGTTCATAAGGTGCACGGCCATCGACCCGACCGACAAAACGGCATCAAGGAGGAGGCAGAAGAAGAAGAAAACGAAGCTGAATTACGGAGCAATGGTGAGTGAGATAGTGGTGAGGTTGTTTAGGAGAGTGGAAAGGAAGATTCTGAGGAGGTTTATAAGGAGGAAGTATCTGGATCCATGGAACACCCCCACTGGCATCGGCACTGGCAGTGATAATTTCGTCGATCCATTTCTCCCATTTCCGCTTCTTCTCAGGGATGAAGCTGTTCTCACTACTCCCACTCCAGGCCACCACCTGCAGGACGACATCTCCTTTTGCGCCCTCTGCGACTTCGAGGTGCGCCCTCTCTTGTTTTCCTTTTCGTTTTGGCAGCTCAATAATCACGATTACTAGTCTTTGGTAGTGTACATTCCTCTTACTCTTTATACAGATTTTGAGCATGTGTTTGTCTTTACAATGTTATTGAGTTTGGATCAATTCCAAATATCTTACTTACTTAGGACTGTAAGAAAGAGGGGGGAAAAAAAAAAAAGATGAAGAGAAAGGAAAGAGTCTCACTGTACATAACTTCAACTAGAAGAGAGAAAAGAAAATCCCATGAGTTTAGTCGTACCATTCAATAGCAAAGCTTATGAGAGCTGCAGTTTTTCTTTTCTTTTCTAATCCATTTTTCAATAATAGTTCAACTTCATCACAAGCCAATGGAAACATCAGAATCTCAAAAGTCCTCTTCTTTTGCAGGTCAGGAAACATAGCAAGCACTGCAGAACCTGCAACCGATGTGTTGAAGGGTTTGATCACCATTGCAGGGTTTGTTTTTGTTGCGCCATTCTCCTTATCTTGTCATTCCTTTCTTTCTTGTTTTGTTTTCATGATTGATTTCAAATGCAAAATTCTTTTCCTTCTCTAGTGGTTAAACAACTGCGTCGGCAAAAGAAACTACACAACATTCATTCTTCTCATGATTTTCGTTTTGTTAATGGTTAGTTGCCTTCTGCCCTGGGAAACCAATTCTTGATTTAAACAAACAGAATCTTCAGCATTTTAGGCTGTCAATAATTTAATTGCTATAACTACAGCTAATCATGGAAGGAGGAACTGCTGTTGCCATATTTGTCCGCTGCTTCACGGATAAAAGTGGGATAGAGCAGGAGCTGAAGCGCCGGCTTTATGTTAAGTTCCCAAGAGAGGTTCTTGCCACGATATCGGTTAAGTTCAGATTCCTACTTACTCATCTTCTCATTGGCATCGTTTTGAACACAAATTTTGACTCATTCTGGGTTTCAAACTACAAAATGTTACAGATTTTGTTAGTTTTGATGACAACTTATGGTTCAGCAGCACTTGGACAGCTCTTTTTCTTTCATGTGATTCTCATTCGGAAGGTAAACTTTTATGGTTTCTCTGAAAATTTTCAGCTCGTTTAATTATTTTTGTTTGTTTCGGGGATGTTGGTATGAACATGGTAGAGACCTGTAATATATTATATAAGATATGCACATATATATTTTGAAGTGAAACGTTCTCATATCCATTCTAGATAAAAGAAAGGAAATAAAAACAAAGTTCTCTTGGTAATTTGTTTCCTGATATCGAGAGTCACTGGATGCTTGCTGCAGGGAATAAGAACATATGACTATATCATGGCAATGAAAGAGGAGAACCAATCAATGGAATTAGATCCTTTTGATGATTCAGACTTCTCGTCAGACGAGAGCACTGATTTTGATTCTCCAGAAAAGCCAACATTTGTATCCCGGTTTATTTGCAGTGGACAAGGGCAGTGTCAGGTAAAAATTAAAGCAGCCACTTCATTTTTTTTTTCTGCATCTTTGGAAGCAATTAAGTATAACATCCCTTAATGAATGACAAGTTTTCATTTCCCAGAATGCCAAAAAGTTGTCCATAAGAATTGAAAAAGATCCCAGGTTATCTCCAATAACCAACAAACAAGGGTTCCGGGTCGGCATCAACCCCTGGAGACTGATAAAGCTGAGCAAAGAGAAAGCTCTAAGAGCAGCTGAGAAAGCAAGGGAAAGGATTGTAAAACAGAAGCCAATGACAGAGCAGGATCCGTTAAAGCCACTACCATTGGAAACAAAATGTGGACCGCTGACGAACGCGCACCGAAATATGCCCGAATCCAATGGAGGATCTGGCGAAACACCACTCCTCTCTAAAAGCAGGCTTGCAGGGTCACCGGGAAGTTTTTCTAGCCCAAGAAGGCGTTTTTCTTGCCCTCCAACCACCACCGTCTCTGGCATTGTGGCACCATCACCGCAGCACAAGTACCGAAGTAACTTTGACTTGAAATTAACAGACGTGTCCAGGGAGCTCGAGACCTACATTTCGCGGCAGGTTTTGTGTTCTGTTATAAAGGAAGATGGAAGTTTACCTTCCCCGAGATAGATAGAGATCATTTGGATTCTCAGCCTTTGAGATATGCTTCCCTTGTTCTGCCGTGTGTATTCTTTCTTAAAATATTATTTATTTAAACGAGTATTCAACACAAGCAATGTAACATTTCCTGGTGTAACGATAGCTTTTATGTGGCTTGTTCCACACTATTTATACATGTACTCTTGAATCCCTTCACATATAAATGCTAATCCATGCCCCCGTTCTTCTTCTCTTCACAAAATTTCTCTAGGAAATACTATACCACCAAAATTCATGTACAATTTGGGAAGATAAAGCATAATGAACTCATTTCTATTTCCAAAATTTTGATATATCAGTCAATTATTTGTCACTGCACACCAAGTTACAAGAAACAATCACATTTATTTCAAAAAAAAAGAAAAAAAAGAAAAAAGAAACAATCATATCTCAGTACTAAAACTAGCAACTGAAAACTCACAAACTCCACTCAACTTCATGTCGGGCAATAGTATTCTTCAGCTACGACTGGTGGTGGTTCGTCGTGTTAAAGAATCAAATGTTCAACTTGAAACTGGAAAAATTCACAGAAGATGGTGACTTTTTTAAGTCGTTAATTTACCAGGAGAACAGCCACGCGCCTCTGTTTTGATTACTCGAAGAGGTCCTCAGGTGATTGGATAGATGGTAACAATCTGAGTAATGCTCAGGGTATATTCTTTCCTTGAGGGGCTCACAAATTTCAGGGGAAACTAAGTCGGAAAAGCCCTGAATATAAGAGCAGTTCCACGGGGACTTGTTCGAGGTGATACCATTGAGAGTAATGTTGGACAAGCAAATGTTGAGAAAAGTGTCCCCTTCTATACCCTCTAGTACGCCTGCAATTTTTATGTCTTCCCCTACAACATCCTTAATGGTAATTCTTTCTATTAAAGGAAGAGCAGTTGGGTCATAAAACTCATCTGGGTGCTCTCCATACAGACTGGTGAACCTTATAGCTGTGCCTACATTAACCATCTTCATGTCTGATACATAGATATTTCTGACATAACCCCCTCTTCCGGGTGACGTCTTTATTCTGATACCTGTTCTAGAATTGAAAATTTGGATGTTTTCCACGCGCACTTCAGAAACTCCTCCTGACATCTCGCTTCCAATTGCGATCCCTGCAGCTCTGCCGGATTCTCCCATAAGCCTGCGGATGATAATGTTGGTGCTGGGACGGCCAGAAGAAATTCCATACTCATCCCACCCACTTTTGATGGCAACCAGATCGTCGCCTGTGCTGATATAGCAGTCTTCGATGCAAACATTGTCACTAGAGTCTGATGGATTTAACATTAAAGAGTATTAAAATATCTCATTTCTAGCTATTAGCTAAGTTTCACGGTAGTTGAAATTCATGACTAGAAACAACTTGTAAACTAAATTTAACAAACACACCTGGATCAATCCCGTCTGTGTTTGGTGACTCAGGAGGTGCAAGGATTCTCACATTACGGACAGTAACTTGGCTGTTGGTCCAAAGAAAAAACAAACTCAACTATTCTCTCCTAACAATCTCAAATAGTAATATGTTACTGAAACACTCTGAAGAAACCCAGCAAACAATGAAGAAAAACCCAAAAGATACCTGCAATATACAGGGTGAATGGCCCAAAAGGGTGAGTTAATGAAGGTCAAATTTGAGATGACAATGCCGGTTGAGTTTATGAACTCGACCAAATGGGGTCGCGTATAATTCAGGGTTTTGTTGTCAAACCAATCCCACCAGATGCTGCCTTGACCATCTATCGTCCCATTGTCGCCTGCTCACGCAGAATCAAGAAGACAACCAAAATGCAGATCCAATCGCAACAAAAATAAATCTTGGACAATCAAAAAAGTACGAAACCATTAACCAACCTGTTATGATAATATCTGTTAAATTACGTCCATAAATGAGGCTCCGATGCCTTGCACCAGGCAACTCCCTACCTCGGCCATATGATGGTAGGGGATCGGTGATTGGCCAATCATCAGAGTTCTACATCATGTAATGGCCATATTGTAAATGGCATTTATTAGTTTAGATGGCATTACTTAATCTCATCTCGTATATTGTTCTTTAATAATGCTAATAGTACAAATGTTGGAAGTGTAAATGAAAAAAGAATTTTATTTTGTTTACCGGGGAAGCAAGAATGACAGCATCCTTGTGTAACCAGAGAGTAAGATGACTGATGAGGTCGAAGCTTCCTGTCAACCAGCGTCCAGCAGGGACAAAAAGCTTGGCTCCACCTTTGTCAGCGAATGAATTCAGATAGAAAATGGAGTTCTGAAATGCTTTTGTGTTGAGAGTCACTCCATCTCCAACTGCCCCAAATTCTGTGATACTCACACTGTGTGGCCTCTTTTTCATTTCATTTTCATTTTCACACTTTTCTTCTTCTTCTGATCTGCCAATGCCATCACTCTCTCTCACTAGTAAGAGTAACACTAATACAAGTACCACCAGCTGCATCCACACAATTTTACTTTTCTTCTTTAATAATAAATAAAAAATCCAACAAAACCATATATGCAATAATTGATCTTCCCAATCAGATCGTATAAACGTAAATCATATATATATATATAAACAACATAGACCGATTTGGTTTGAAGAAGAAAAATTGTAGATGATTGATTAACAACTAAATACTGTACTCACATGAAAAGAGGTCCTCATATCATATGAATGAAATCTGAAAACACCCACGACCCCCTTTAAGCTGAGCTCTCAATTCTGCCACAAACACGTTAATGCTCTGATGAAAATCAAGAAAGAAAGCCCCTCTTGAGTCTGTCTGAGACACAAAACAAAATTACAACAAAAGAAGAAATATGAGATGAGAGAGTCTTGTGGAGTCTTCACTATTCTCTACATATATAAAGCACTCCACCTTCTCTAGATGATATTTTCTTCTTTAATATGGAATGGAACCAGCACTGCGATAAAGATTAGAGAGGATAATCAGAAAGAACCAGAAACAAAGAAAGAAAGAGAGTTGAGAAAACTCCTCCGTATAAATCCAAGTTGTTGTTCCTGCCTGATTCTGTTAACAATACAGTGACCCTTTTTGCCTTTTTCCTATATACAACATTACATAATATTTACTTACATACAATACAAGTCCGGACACTCAGAGAGAGAGAGAGAGAGAGGGTTGAGCACCGAGATTATTAATAAGTTTTGTTTTGCAGCATAGCATATATACGCTCTCTACTCTCTCTCATCTCATATCACCTCATCTAACAATCACTCTTATTTCTCACATTTCATTTAAGTTGGAAAAGAAAATCCCTCAAAACAATAAAGAAAATCAACTCAAATATATTCACTTCTTTACGCTCCTCTCTGTCTTTTCTCTCTAAGAAAAGAATTTTTTTTTTTAAAGTTTAAAAAAAAAAAGAAAAAAAAAAAAAAAAAAAAACTTTTTTTGGCTGTTGTTTTTTGTTTGCAAGTGCACTCAGTTCATTAGCTGTAGAGAGGGATATCCGACGGAGACAAAAATTCAACGACTTACACATTCATCATACAAAACAAAAAAGCAGTCACCTACTCAACAACTTGCATACATATAAATTTTTCGGCAAAATAAATACATAAAAATACATATATGTATATATTCATTCAGAAATCAATGGATAATTAATATCACACTAATTCTGGCTGTCTTGTTGCCACGGGATAAGCATTACAACTTTTTCTTTAGTGCATACATATATATAAATGATAAACATTAACCTTTGAGAAAAAGAAAAATAAATAAATGATAAATATTAGACAGTCACAAATAACAAGATAAACACGCACCTTCTGAAGTTTGAATTTGTGTTCAGAAACATGTCAACGACTTCTAATTTCACAATCACAACTCTTTTTTTTTTTTTTTTATATATATATCAGAACTGATATACTCTCATATAGGCAGCTTTTTGTTTTCAGAAAAAAATAATAATAATAAATGAAAAAAATATGAACGGGCAATTCTGAATTTAAATTATAGTAAATGCACTCATAATTTTGTCAACCGTGCATTAAAGTAGATGAAGAATATGGGCTGAAGAGAAGAGAGTAAAAATCACGTGGACTGGCTCCTGATTTGTATTGTTAGTAGTACTAGATCTGATTGGTTTGGTTGTGCCTTGTTGGGTGGTGGGACCACCTTCTCCCTTGTCCCTATTACCGGTTCATTTGATCCCCTCCCTCCCTTCCTCTTATTACTTCCACTGTTCAAGTTGTAACACTCAATCAATTGTCCTTTCTAATTTATAATTTAATTTAAAAAAAAAAACCCTTCAACGCTATATATATGTCTTAATTTTTTTCCCAATAAAATTAACTTTTGCCCCAATAAAATTAACTTTTGCCGAGTTTCATTTCTTTAGAATAACTAATGACGATTGACGAATGAGAATTAGACAAAATTAATAGAAAAATAAAATCAAAACAAAAAATTAAGGGGGGGAATAAAAGTGTCTATAAAGAGAAGGACAAGGTCCAAGGGGAGATAGAAAAGAAGAGTACTTGGTCGTAATTTGAGGCATTATTATGACAAAAACAGTAAGGTTTCCAAAGTCAGGTATCCAATGCCCTCTTCACCAAAACTCAACCACTGACATTTCAAGGTTTTTTTTTTTTTTTTTTTTGGGTGGTGGAAACGTTTCAAGTTTTTCAAACTAAAAGACGGGTATTCATCATAAAGATCAGCTACTTTTCATTTTTTACTTTCTTAATTGATTCGTATTACAACAAATTGTATTTGTTTGTATTAATCTTTTGGAGTCTTCTTCTACGACCTTCCTAAATTATTGGAAAACATGCATAAAAACGATAATGAGTTCACACAACATGTGTCCAGTGATAATGGATGTCGGACGTACTACTGTGTAATATTAGTGGATTCTATTTTGTCAAGAGTTTTTGGAAACTGATGCTCATCCACAAATGACGTAAAAATGTTATGTATTGTTTGCTTAATTATTGAAACCTTTTTTTTTCCCCTCAATAAAAGAAAAACAAAGCAAAGGGTTTCCTCGAATTGAACTTATCCCATATATATATATATATACATATATATATATAATGATTTTATTATTACTCGAGAAAGTGACTTGAGAGAGATACCAACTTATAATTAAAGGTGACGCTGGAACATTTCACTCCATATGAGTATTTTTGTTGTTTACGCAAAGGTTTATTAATGTCAACGCTTGTCCGTTGATGTGCCGATTGATTCATTAATTTTTCCTGAAATATTTTCAGAACTGCCTACATATCTTAATGAATGAATTAAATTATAAAGTAGAAACTGTACCGCATTCTTCTTATCCAATCGTTTATTACGAAAACAATCTCAATTTTATACGCGGCTAACCACAAATAATTAATTAATTAATTAACAAGGAAAATAATAAACTAAGGGGATAATTGAAGTCATTCAAAAAAAAAAAAAAACAAGAGAATCGACGGTTTACTATTTAAAAAAAAAAAAAGGAGATAAGTGAGGGAAGCAAACCGGATTTTGGTACAAGTGGATACATGAGAAGCAGTGCATCAAACCATGATTTGAATCATGATTCATGATTCACTGTAGTGTTTTCTCTCATAAAAAATACACGTAAATCGAAAATGATTCTAATCACATGATTTTAATCTATGAACCAAACGTCTCCTAATAAGTAGATCTTTGCACGTATTGTACAACTTACTCAATTTATGTCACGGAGACAGTGAACATCACTATTTATTTATTTATTTATTTCTATTCATTGCTCATCTAAACTATCATTAATATTGACCCGACTCATTGAGTAAACGAATTATGTTAGTTACCGACCATATTATAAGTACAATTTTATTTTATTTTTCTTATTATTATCACTATTTTGCGCAAATGAACCTCAACGTGCTGTACTTTTTTTTTTTTTGGGACTGGGTTGTAATTATATTCTCAATAGAAAAGAAAAATAAAACATATGAAAAGATTATAGGACGTGGGGACCGAACCAAGAACCTTTTGACTGTGTGTTGTGTGTAGTCATGCCTCATGGAAGGGAAGGTAAAAATGACTAGTACCAAACTTTGATCCCAACTGCCACATAATTTGCAAGTTTAGGAGCTCTCTAATTCGTTAATTTGAGTTGAGATGTAACTTTATATTAAAAATAAAGAGTAAAAATCCTGTATTTTTTTTTTTTTGAACTTTCTCAGGGTCCTTGTCAACTTTAGACTGGACTGGATCCATGAGTCCAGAAGATGGGCCCATTAAAGCATTGCAAAGAGAGAAGGGCCTACAAGACTCCCAGGGAGGCCCAAACATTACGCCTGACAGGTGTATGGAATGGAAGATCGTCTTCTAATATCGTCGATTCGAATGAAGCAAAAGTGAATGAAGCTTTTCGTCAAACACAAGAGAAGCGAAGCAAAAGGCAATGAAACCACCAACTTCCCATTCCAAAAGGCTTAGCGGCCACGCTTCCGACTCTATTCCTCAGAATCAAAAAGAGTTAATATTACGCTAATTCCTCTTTCTACTTTTCTTCTTCTTCTTCTTCTTCCCCCCCTTTTTTTAAAAAAAAAAATTAATTTTTAATTACTTTTCTCTTGTTTGAATTTCCGCAGTTACTATGAAGGCGAACGTCTTGCCCGTCTGCTCCAATCACTTCAAAGGTCCCCCTTTTCTTTCCTCTTTCTTTCCATAGATTGATATTTTTTGTTATTATTATTAGGAAAAATTTCATATTGATACTCTTATGTTAAACACTGAACACTAAACAGGGAGATAGAGTCGGCAAGGCTTGCAGATGGGAAGGCCAAAGCCTTACCTGAAAAGATATGGTTCAAGGTTTTTCACTACTACTATTGATACTTTTTTTTTTTTTTTTAAACTACTACTTCATCCACTTTATTTATTAGTGCTGGGATTTGATTGATTGAATTTCAGTATTTTTGGCAGCAACAATTCGCAATTGGAGTGAATGAAGTGACTCGTGCCCTTGAACGTATGAAACCACCACCACAACATTTTCATGAAACAGACTATGAAGATGAAGATGAAGATGAATATGAAAATGATGATCGTCTTACTATTACAAAACCCTCCTCCACCCACCTTCAGGTCCTCCCTCTCTTTTTTCTGTTGTTAATTATTATTATTAATTATTAATTAGACTTGTAGTAATGATGGAAAAACAAAACAAAACAAAACAAAAAGAAGCAAGATGATGTGTTGTGCAGTTTTGAAGGTGAAAAAACGTACCGTGTTGTTGTTGTCCTTGTAGGCAGTGGTGGTGGCTTCTGATAGCAACCCAAAATGGCTTACGAAGCATCTTCCGAGCTTGGCCTCGTCAAGGAAAGTACCTTTGATCTTTCTCAGAGATAACAAACACGCTTCCTTGCGTTTAGCTCAACTCTTTAAACTCAAGAGCGCCATCGCCATTGGAATCAAGGCCAGAGGAAATTCTATCAACAAATTCTTTGCAGGAATTCTTCGTGGTGATGGTGATGATTTACTAGTAAATGACGGAACGGATTGCTGCCTCACCTCTCGACTGCCTTCTACTTCTACTGTAAACATGACTTTCCTTTAAAATCCTTTTTAGTGTTTTTAATTCGACCGTCATCAAACTGTTGTTTTTCTTCTTCAAATATATGTAGCTGAAGCAGAAGAATCGAGATACCAAAATTTAGCCACTTTCACAAATTAATCTCATTTATATTCTTGTGCTCTCTTTCACGAATTTCATGCTATCCAACGGGAAGCCCCGAAAAAACATTACAACAAATTATATCCGCACTATACAAGTTACATTTTGCAATGGATGAAGACAATGGAATGAACTCTCTGAATAACTTTTGGTCTTATTCACGCACTTCCTTGGGGGCTGGCAGCTGCAGAAGACGTCTCAACGTTGCCTACTGCATCAGCTTCTCCATTATTAGCCCTACCATTACTTGCAACTTTGCCCGAATTCCTCTTTTGTTTTTCATCCTCGTTCTTCTTTACCATCACCGGTTGAAACTGCCAACACCACAATAACAACAAATTAGTTCAGTAGGTATATAATCCTGAAAAGCCCTAAGCCACACGCACGCACATTTCCCCACATGTATGCGCACACAACACACATGTACATGTATGCATACATATTGAGGACCCGGAAATAGTCTGATGCAAACCTGATATATGGAGTAGATAACGTTTCTTCTCAATTGACCCATCATTTCTAAGAAGAGATTATAGCCTTCAAGTTTGTACTCGATAAGTGGATCCCGCTGTGCATATCCACGCAAACTCACGGCTTGCTGTACAAACTTGAGTGCTTGGAGGTGTTCCTTCCACAGGCGATCAATATTGCTTAATACTAAGAACCTTTCGGCTTCCTTCATCAAACCCGGAGCTTGATTTTCCACTATCTCCTGATACACCCAACAATACTTCCATATTAATGTGGAGGCGCAAACATTTTATATCAGATCTTTGACGTAGGAGTCAACTAACTCAGTTTGCAGGACTTGGATAACACGTTTGAGTCGGTAAGATTGAAGTTCAAGTTAACAATTAGATTGGTAGGCAAGGTAAGACCCAACACTAACTCTTTTCTGTAAATATGCTTGTCGACCACGAAGACGAAGGTAATCTTGCAACTCCACATAACTTGATCCTTTACTCCTCAGCAAATCTGGCGTCAAGTCATCCAACAGATAGCAGTACCTGAACCCACGGCAATATATTCAACACAAATTAAGAGAGGAGGCCCACTGAACGACAACATGAAAGTGGAGATATTCATAAAGCACTAAAAAATAGATAAAATAAAAGCGGGGTAGTCTATTGTCAATAGCATAAACATTCAGAATTTAACGCTTTAACACATAAAATTCACGTCTTTAACTTTCAGAAGCAAAATGCCACTTACTGCTGAAGCTTAGCAATGAGCTTCTCGAGATCCCAGCTTTCTTTTGGAGCGTCCGCACCAACATTTGCCTGTTCATCATCAGGCCAGTTTAGAAAAGTTCAGGGTCTGTACAAAAACATAATGCATATAAAAGGAAATGCGTTGAGAACACTACTTACCTCTAAGATGTCATCCATTGTCAATTCAGCATATTCAATGATAAGAGATTGAAGATTGTCGGATTCGAGGGCTCTCCTTCTTTCTGTATATAAACGGTCCCTTTGGCTATTTAAGACTTCATCAAACTCAAATAGTTGCTTCCGAATATCGAAAAAGTAATTTTCCACTTTCCGCTGAGCTTCGTCCAGGGCTTTGGTCAACATCTGGGACTCAATTGGTAGGTCTTCAACTCTAAAGGCTCTCATTAAACCCTACAAATAGCAAATACAAAGGTTGTTCTAACAAGATTGCCCTCTAGCACCGCCACTATTAAACATAAATCACGACCAAAGTCTAAACCTGAATTCGGTCTCCACCAAATACACGAAATAGGTTGTCTTCAAGGCTTAAGAAGAAGCGTGAACTTCCAGGATCCCCTTGCCGGCCACTTCGACCACGCAACTGCGAAAAACAAATTATAACTCAAATTTTAATGCACACCATGCAAACGTTTCTCGTCTACAAAGAAAAGTAACTGAGCAACAACAAAAAAGAGCATTGAGAGGAGAGTCGTGGATGGAATGGTATGACAGAATTAGTTTTCAAAATACTCATACCTGATTGTCTATCCGGCGAGATTCATGGCGTTCTGTACCCACAACATGCAGTCCACCAGCTGACACAACCTGCAGTGATCCGGAGATCAAGAAAGAAACTTGACACCAACTTGTAGAGCATCGGAAAAGCTTCTGTGGAGAAACAATCATACCTTCTTTCTTTCTTCCTCCGTGTAAATTTTATATTCATCAACAATTTCCTTAAAGGCATTCCTCAGTTTGGCAATAACTTCATCCTGAGCAGGCCCCTACAAGTGCAAACATGCAATAGTTACTGACTATTTGACGGTATAATGGATGATGAAGGGATAAAATAAAATAAAATCCTTCAAAGAATGTGTCCCTGTATTTTAGGCCTGCTGTTTGATTCTCTGCTAAACTAATCTGCAAGAGGACAATCAGTATTTTGTTTAGAATCTTTTAAGAGTTTGACCTTTTCACAGGAATAAGATAGACGCTCCTCTGCTTCCAGCTCAGTCAATGATCTTCGACCCCATGTTTCGACAGCTAACTTTACAGTCTCCTCAGCCAACTTCACATTCTTATTGGATAAGTTGCACGGAAATAGTTTTTCATCAACCTGGAAACAAAATAATGCTAAGTTCAAGATACCATAACCATTGCATATATTAACTTTGAGCAATCCTACTTTTCACGCCATAACCAAAACCAATAAAACTTATCCAAGATCAAAGATAAAAACCCACACCTTCCATGTCTTCTTTGGAGGAAGTTTCTTCACTGATACAATGCCTTCAACTGGCTTAACAACACTGCAATACAAATGGGGGAAAAAAAAAGGTCATGCGTAATTCTAAACGTTGCTGATTAGTTTTAGCATTTGATTCTCTTTAGTTATAGGTATACCATGTCCAAAGCATCATGTGCAAAGAAAACTATCTGGATTATGAGAAGTGAAAATGCTCTGTCAATTATGTTTTTGATGTTACATATGCACCTCAAAGTTGAATATCATCACGCATATAAAGAGGTTGGCATGTATAACTAAGTGACAATCACATCTTCCCTCCTAGCGAAGGTGATTTATCAGTTCAGAGCATATAATAGAATAACTTTATTAGGAGCGTGAAGCCATGAGTGTGAAATCCAAATATACATCAGTACTAGGATGCTGGGCCATAAGTGGTATAAATTATAAATGTTCAGAAGAAACCCATTATTATCAAACTTGGATAATACCTTGGCATTAGCATCTCTCGTAGCTTCAACCTTGCCATGAATTCTGCATTACCACCAAGGATTATGTCTGTTCCACGACCTGCCATATTGGTAGCAATTGTTACTGCTCCTAGACGACCACTCTGAGCAACAATTTCTGCTTCTCTTTCCACATTTTCTGGTTTTGCATTCAGAACCTTCAAAGGTAAAACAAAATCTGTTAGATTTTCTTTTGTATGATTTACACCACATTTATAAGTTTCGCAAGGAAATGAACAAGAAAAAACGCATACAAAACGTTTAACCTTGAAGTTATACATACATTCCAAGTTCATCATAATCACCCAGGCAATCTAACTTTTTCTTTTTTTCTTGAACAGCTAATATGACTTTATAAAGACAAAAAGATCACACCTCATGGGGAATTCCAACTTCTTTCAACTGCTCGGACAATGAGTCACTCTGCTCAACACTTGTGGTACCAACAAGCACAGGGCGACCCGCCTTGTGCATTCTTGAAATCTCTACTACAACTGCTCTCCATTTTCCTGATGTCGCCCTAAAAACTACATCCGACTCATCCTGAGACAATTCATTAAAGACATTGTGGAATGTATTGTGAAAACTTTAATTATATGAAAGGACTGAACCCCCAGATAGCACTAAATAAGTAGAATATACCTTTCTTATCATGGCTTTATTTGTCGGCACTACTGTAACTTTCAGCTTGTATATACTTTCAAATTCAGTGCTTTCAGTTGCTGCAGTGCCAGTCATCCCACAAAGTTTTGGGAACTGTAAAGATCAAAGAAATAGAACACTAAGTGAGAATAAATTTTGACAGATACATAATTCACTCATTCAGAGACAGAATGCTTCAACCTGGAGAAAGAAGTTCTGGTAGCTAATCGAAGCCAGGGTTACGGTTTCAATTTGGATGGGCAAACCTTCTTTTGCTTCAACTGCTTGGTGAAGTCCATCACTCCATCGCCTCCCCTAAAAGAAAAGGGCAACTGACTAAACACTATGATTATGTTCCTTAAGGCAACGAAGAACTATACGTCATCATAATTACTACTATCAGTATAATTATAGCAGTTTCTCACTCTAATACTTTGGCAAATTTTATGACGAGAAAAAACTAATGCAATCAATAATGAGGCAAATAATAAAGCTCAATCACAAATAAATCACCTGCATAACTCGACCAGTAAACTCATCCACAATAAGAACCTCTTTGCCACGGATGATATAGTTGACATCTCTAAGAAACAGTTCCTTTGCTTTTACTGCATTCAGAAGATATGATGCCCACTGTTCTCGGGGATCATACAAATCTTTCACATCCAGAATCTCTTCAGAATCTTCATAACCCTGTTCTGTGAGTAGAACTGTTTTCTGCTTTTCATCGACCTGCAACCGTGAGAGATGAGACAACTCTTGAAAAAATTTCATGATGCCACTGGCAACCACAAACACTAACTAGGAAAGAAAAGGATCCTTTTGTTGCTAACTAGATAAAAAAGAGTTCTTACAGTGTAATGTATATCTCGCTCAAAGGCAGCAGCAATTTTAGCAGCTTTATAATAACGATCACTGGGTTTTTCTGCAGGTCCAGATATAATTAGAGGGGTTCTTGCTTCATCAATAAGGATAGAATCAACCTCATCAATTATACAGTAATTAAAATCCCTCAACACAAGCTCCTCCACACTCTGCATATGCCAGAAGATAAGCTTCAGCAAGGATGATAAAATCGAACCAGTTCTTGATCTTGATTGATTAAAACTGACCACAAAAGAATGGCTTTTTGTAAAAACCAGTAGATAAAGCAAGAATTACGTTCCGTGGCAAGATTGTCTCTCAAGTAATCAAAACCGAGCTCACTGTTGGTGACGTATGTGATGTCACACAAGTAATTTTCTTTTCTTTGCTCACTTGTCATGTTCTCTGCAAACAAACAAACAAACAATTTTTAAAAAAAAAATAAGAATGGAAAAGGAAATCTATTACTCATTTACAAAAAGAATTGGAGGTAGCAAATAAACAGAAGTAGGGTGAAATTCTGAAGCTTTAACTATATCAGTTGTAAAGAATACAAATAAGAGCTCATCGAATAAAACAAGAAATTAGATACAAGCATGGGAAACAAAATAGTATATATAGTAATAAGAAACACAGATTGGGGAAAAGTGAAGAATAACATAAGAATTGAATAAGACATACGTTGGATTAGGCCAACCTTCAATCCGAGAAAGCGAGGAACTTGACCAACCCACTCACAATCTCGTCGGGCGAGATAATCATTGACAGTGACCACATGAACTCCTTTTCCGCTCAATGCATTCAAATAAGCTGGTAAAATCGCTACAAGGGTCTTTCCTTCCCCAGTTTTCATTTCTGCTATTTCTCCCTTATGAAGAACTATGCCACCTCCATAATATCAAACAGAAATAATAAAAAAAAAGAAACCATTAACTTTTCATGTTTATATAATGACATAGAAGCTTTGATAGAATGATTTGAAGTTTGCTACTCCAACAAAAGAGAAAGGACACAAAAGGCAAAGGAAATCGTATTGAATTATTTAATAATAGTTAGCTACTTACCAGTGAGCTGGACATCGAAGGGACGAAGACCTAAGACCCTCTTGGAAGCCTCTCTAACAACAGCAAATGCTTCCTGAAAATGGATACCAAAAATCAACCCAGTAAATTCAACAAACAAGAATCAACCAAAGCAGAATAATAAATAAATAATGAATTCAAAGGGAAGTTTATATATGTATATATATATTAGTAATAAGAACTTAACAGGTAAAAGAGAATCTAAAGAGTCGCCTTGCTGGGCTCGTTCTTGGAAAAGACGAGTCTTTTGTCGGAGCTCATCATCAGACAAGGCCGACACCTCAGCCTCCAACCGATTGACGGAGGAGACAAGGGAGGCGTACTGCTGCCTCGTGGATTCGCCGGTGTCGACGCCACCCTTGAAAATGCCTCCCAAAAGACCTCCTAAGGCCGACAACACTCGCATTTGCCGTCGCCTTTGCCGTTGCCTTTGGCTTTGGCCTTCCCATTTCGAATGGTTGGTGGATTTGGGAGGAAAGAGGAGCTGAGGAGATTTACGATGAACTTCATTCAGAGACAGAGGAGACTGCTTCAGCTTCACCGGCGACAGTGGAGACAAGGCTGCCGCCATTTTTTGTTTGGAAAAGAGAAGGGAGTGTAGCAGAGCAACACACGCCTGAGCCCCTCGGGATAAGGTTCAAGATAGTTTTTTTTTTTTTTTTTTTTATGTCCGTTTTTAGTTGTAAGCTGGAAAAAAGGGGAAAAAAAATAATTGTCCAGTTTTTAAGGGCTCATTTTTTTTATTGTTTTTGAGTAAGGTGATTTGAGTGTAGATTTTGAGTTGAGTTTGAGTTAAAATTATAATTTGAGTTTATGTTGATTGTGTAAATTTGAGTTATAGTTTGAGATTATAATCCATTTGAGTTTGTGTTTGTTTATACTAATACTTGAGTTGTGAATAGTATCCTGAAATTTTTTTATTTCTTTCATTTAATTGATCTTATGCAATTGAATTTGAATAAATACAAGTGAATCATCTATAAGTAGTAATAAATTTAAAAACAAAGTAGGCATTTTTTTTTTCATTTAATAAATTAAAATATCATATAAAAAATTCCTAGAAGATCAGTTTTCATTATAAATGAAGAGCAAATTGACAACAATAGATACATAATTAATAACGTAAGTCTACATACACTATTATTAGTGCGTACGATGATTATGGTACACTACTCACATTATATGTGCTATTGTATCCCTTAACGCATTCATCTCCAATTATGCATTATAATTTAATGGTTCTTCGTGGTTGTTATTGTTATTGTCATTGATATCCTCTTCAACATTATGGGGATCAATGTCCGCAACCGGAATGTTATTTTGTGAGTACTGATCTAATAGTCTGTCTCCATTACGGTACATGTGGATAAAATTATGGACTATAGCACATGCAACCGGAACCTTAACTTGCTTTTCAATGAGGTAACGGTTAATGCTTTTCAAAATTCGAAACCTGGTCTTCCACACACCAAATGTTCTTTCAATCACATTACGCATGGAGGAGTGTGTGTAGTTGAACAATTCACGTTCACTGCGAAAGCCTCTACCATGTCGATTCCTATACTCTTGCAAATGGTATGTTGTTCCTTGATATGGTGCCATGAAACATCTGTTGTTTTGTTAGGATCCGTTAATGACTTGGGAACTTATTTGATTAGGGGGCTAGTAGAGTTAGTAGGAATTAGTATAAATAAATGGCTTATTAGCTCATTAGGGGGATGTTGTGATTTTGGAGAGTTTTGGGAGACTGAGATTTGGGAGAGCTGTGGTCTCTCGAATACCACCAAATTAGAAGTCCCCAGAGTACTCGAATTCTCCGTTCTATCCTTTACATTTCAATGTAATTTGATGTTCTTGGCTGATTAGATTAATAAAATTCCCTCCGAATATCAATTTGCTAATCTGAAATAGCTTTAGTGTGAGCTAGGTTTCTAACAATTTGGTATCAGAGCAATCGATTCTCGAAAAAAAAAAAGAAAAGAAGAGTAAATGGAATCAATGAAAGAGAAATTAGAATCGATGCTTCAAAGTGTGAAGCGGATCATTCAATTGTTAGAGGAGCAGGACCGCAAAGCTTGGGTGGTTGAAAGTGGGATAACGCCGGCGAAGGATACGTGGTCGCAACCAGAAGAACATTGCCGCTGAATGACGACGAACGCGTTGCAATCTGATTGGAGTGAGTCACGATCAGATTTTTACACTGAACATCGGGTTCCGCGATCCGATTGGAATTACAAAGCAAGGGTTTCGAACTGTAAAACCATGATGGAGGTAGAGCGTCAACGTCAACGAACGACGCTAGATGGGGCGCAACCAGATCCAGAATCGCGCGAGGTCGAAGATTGGAAAAAATCTTGGCGATCTGGAGCTAGATCGTCTAGATCTAAAGTGAATGGCAGCAGATTCATGATAGAATTGAGCGTCGCCAGGGCTGCACTTCACGATTTTGTCCGAGTCTGATTCCAGCAGGATTTGGAAGGGGTCTCACGGTTCCGGTGCCGTTTTAACTCATTCGGGTGCCGTTTTGGCTGATTCTAACGAGTTTAGGGTAATGTCTTAGAATTCAGGCGTGTTTGGGGAAGATTATGCAACGAATTGGACTGGGTCTCGTGATTCTGTCATGGTTGGGGCAGATTCTGACCAGGTTAGGACTGGGTCACCTAATTCCGGTGAGATTCAGGTGGATTCCGGTGAAGGCAAGACCGGATCTTCCAGTTACGACGTGTGCAGGGCCAATTTTGACACTGTGGCGGTTGGACGTTGCACTTCCAGCAAGATTGGGGTTAAGTTTGACGCCATTGGAGCCGGGTCTCGAAATTCTAGCAAAATTTGGGCCGGGTCCTCAAAATGTGAAAATTCACGAACTGATTTTGGGGCTGATCCTTAGGTTTTTCGATCTATTGGGCCGGGTCCTCAAAATGTGAAAATTCACGAACTGATTTTGGGGCTGGTCCTTAGGTTTTTCGATCTGATATGGGCAAGGTCAATAGAGTTTCGCCATCTTGTTGGTTAGGAGATCCTAGGGTTTTGAACAGGAGAAAGGGAAGGTGGCGTGACATGTTGTGGAAGAACCGATCAGATCGGCGTTTTCAGCGAATGAAGATGTCGTTGTTCACCGGAGGAAATGTTGACGAGTGGGTCTCTTGAGCTGAACGTTATTTTCTGTTGTATAGGTTGACAGAAAGAGAGAAAATATGGGCTGCGGAAGAGGCCATGGAGGGTGATGCTTTGGTTTCGAATCAATGGCAGGATGGTTGTCGGCTGTTCCGCAGTTGGGATGAATTGAAAGCTCATTTACTACAACGTTTCCAATCAACGCAAGAAGAGACCGTCTATGGGAGTTTCATGGCAAAAGAGCGAGCAGATACCAAAGCGGATTATGAACGACAAATTGAGGTACTTGCTGTACCTTGAAAAGAGATATCAAATGCAGTTTTTGAGAGTGATATCACTACCAAGTTGAAAGTCAATAAAGAACATGGAATAGGAATTTCAAGTGGGCTGCTTCTGGCTCACACTAAAGCTATTTCAGATCAGCAAATTGATGCTCAAAGAGAGTTTCCTTCAAAGAATCTCATCGGGGAGGTGGACTAAGGCGTTGCAAATGAAGATGACTTTCAAACCAATATCAAGAATGATGGGCTTCAAGGTGTGTGGAACGAGATCTCAATGACATGAAACTTTTCTAAGGATATTGCCATAGAGAATGTGCTTGATGTACCAATGAAAGAAGTTAAAGAAGGTGGAGGTCATTCTAGTGTTTTAAAAGGTCTTATTGGTTCGGATTTTAGCAATTGTGGGGGTGTTGACAAAGGAATGAAGAAAGTACACTTGCATCTTCCCTCTATTGTTGGTGTTTTGAAGAACAATGAGGCAAAATTCTTGGATGCGGTGGAGTATAAACTGCAGCAAGATAAAGCTGGTGTGAGGAGGGTGACTAGTATACACGATTTGATTAGGATAACCAGCAAGCTCTTGCATTCTTATGTGGATAAGTTTTTGGATGAACTTATAGGATTAGTTGATTTCACTATGGTTCACAATTCAGGTTCCAAACAGAAGTGTGAACTTGGCAAAACATGGAAGTTATCAAGAAGATTTGAAGCAGGTTTTGTTTGTTTCATAAAGCTCACAAAGATCTTTGTTCTTTCCCATGTTGATGTACTATTGCAGTTTTATTTTCTGGTTTTCACCATGAGGACAAGGTGAATGTTTAGGCGGGGGGTAATGTTAGGATCCGTTAATGACTTAGAAACTTATTTGGTTAGGGGGCTAGTAGAGTTAGTAGGAATTAGTATAAATAAAGGGCTTAGTAGCTCACTAGAGGAATGTTGTGATTTTGGAGAGTTTTGGGAGACTGAGATTTGGGAGAGCGGTGGTCTCTCGAATGCCACCAAATTAGGAGTCCCTGGAGTACTCGAATTCTCTGTTCTATCATTTACATTTCAGTGTAATTTGATGTTCTTGGTTGATTAGATTAATAAAATTTCATCCGATTATTCTCATTTTCTTACTGTTTCTGGTGTGTGGGAGTGTGTTATTGGTGTTTGGCTGATTTTCTGAGCTAGGTTCCTAACATGTTTGCGTAGCCCGAGTCGACGAGGTAGAATTTTTCTACATGTATTTAAGTAATCACAATCAAAAGTTATAGGGTGGGTTTGGTATTGCTTTTAGGAGAGAAAAAACACTTATCCGGGAATCTAAAAACTAAAATCTTGTTTGGTAAAACAAATTTTTAAAAAATTTTCCTCAATCTGAAGCTAAAAGCAGACTCCGCCTTTAGGCTGATTCTAATTTCAGCTCATGCAGAAATTTATTTTAAGTCTTTAATGAAATTTTTTATTTCCAATTTTACCCCCACTGAATTCTGAAATTTACAACCCATTTTCATTTCAGTCTCCTCCTCTCTTCCACTCGTTTCTGAGCCCTCATCTCCTCCTCTGCGAAAATTTTTCTGTGTTCCTCTCCTCAGCTCGCCGTTCGAAGCAAGGTTCCCCGGCTCCGTTCACCGACCTCTCTCTCCGTTCGCCGGTTGATCTCTCCGTTGGCGGTTCGGAGCTCATTTGGTTTCTCCTCCGCCCGATTGATCTCTCCGTTGCCGGTCTCCCTTCTCCTCCTCCAACTGCCCGTCTCTCGTCATCAGATTAAGAGGTAAGCCTCTCTAACCGCGCGATTTTTAGTTTGAACATTTAGATTTTTGGGTCTGATTTTTAGTTTGAACATTTTGGGTTTTAGGTTTCTGATTTTTGCAGAAAAACGGTTGAGCATTTGTTGAGGTTCGGTTTGCCGGTATCCCATCTCCTCCTCCGACTGCCCATCATCAGATCAAGAGGTAAGCCTCTGTTTGTTTGTGGGTTTTAGGTTTCTGATTATGGGTTTTGCAGAAAAACGGTTGAGCATTGTTGAGGGTGAAAAGTTTTTCAAGTAAGCTAGAAAATTAACTGAAAAGTGGTTATTGTTGCTGGAATGGTGTTTATTGGACAATTGAAGTCCCAATTATTGCATAACTAGTTATTTCCGTGCTTGAGCATAGTCAATAATCTTATTTTGTTTTGTTTGTTTGGTAATCCTTTGATGGGTTGATCTTTGATTAGCATTACAACCTTTCCTTTTTTGCTTATTTAGTAGATTGATCTCTTACACTTGATTGTATTAGTGTAGTTTATTTGTTTAGGTGCTGCCCTGATTCTGTCATACTTGCATAAATAGAACAACTGACCTAATAAAATGATGCTCAATATAGTAATTCTGTTGCTGTTTCGAAGTAGTTAACTGGACAAGGTTGTGGCCGGTTTGGCACAGCTTCTTAGAAGCTGTTTTCGGCGTCATGGGTACAAAAGATGCTTCTTATGTTTGAATGATCTCTCAGAAGATGAAAGTCACATAATGCGGCTTGTTACTGTTAGGTTCGAACAGAAAAGTTTGAACATAAATTTTAATATTGTAAGAGAAAACAGTAATTTGAACCTGTGAAAGAAACGGCTTGATTTTAGAATTTCTCTTCTTCTAATCTCAAAAGCAAAAGCAAAAGCAAAAACTATGCGATACTGACTTTAAAATATGTGGGCAATTGTTTCTTTAGTTCCAGTTCGTAGTGACTGGTATTGGATGATTACTGAGGAAAGTGGTAATACAATGTTAATTTTCTGTTATTGCTCATGTACATGTTTTTAAAAGTCTTATGTTGAACAATATAATTTTGAAATTTCTTGTGCCTCTAGACCTCATGCCAATCATCAATTGCTTTATGAAATCTACAGTTTACTGTGTCGTTGCGAAAGAAGCTGTAAGCAAGCACATATCAATCGCATTTTTAGAACGAATGAAAGCAGACTTTAAAAAGAGATATGGAGGAGGTAAAGCAGATATAGCTGTCGCAAAAAGTCTTAACAAGGAATTCAGGTATGTGTGCTTCTCCTTTTGATAGACGCTTTGGATGTGCAAATTTTCCCTTTTGTTTGTTTGTCACCGAGTCTCAAACTAAGCAGGTTTTTAAAATTGCAGACCAATAATGAAAGAGCACATGAAGTATATAATTGGTTATGCTGAAGAGATAGAGAAGTAATTGAAAGTGAAGGCACAAGTTTCAGAAGTCATTGATTTTTGACTGGTGAAGTCGCCACTAGGAATTTGTGTTTTGCGCTTTGTTGTTGGTTTATTTGACATGGATTGGCTGGTAAACCATATTAGACACGGGCAATTTCCTCTTAACTTTATTAACAGAGTTTTTTAAATAATAAAAAGAATAAAAAGGGAAGTCATCTTGTAGTGGAAGCTGATGAGTTTATTGAATTCACTAGAAGTTTGGAATGTCGTTTATGCTTTTGGTGTAATGTACATTTTCGTACTCATTTTTCTCATTAGTTGTTGTTTGCTCTTGTTGTTCGTTTTCCATATGCAACATTACCTTCCTTTGATGTATTCTATTCATTGTCGTTCACTTACTGATGTTGTTTTCTCCTTGTTTCTCTTGCTATCTTACTAATTTTGAATGGGTCGTCGACCAACAGGCAGTAAAGAGGTATTCAACTAAGCACATTCTTCTCTTTGAAGTGTCATTAAACGCACTTTTGGTGTTTACAAAAAATATGTGGGCAATTTTGAGAGACATGCCTAATTATTCATTTAAAAAGCAAGTAAAAATAGTTATTGCAATAATGGCGCTTCATAACTATATTAGGATGCATGATAAGCTCAAGAAGTCGAGGATAATCTAGATGTTTTCGCTTATGAAGAGCATCAACTGGAGGACAATGTAGAAGAAGATGAAGCTTCACTATCATAAGAAATGGTTGAAGTACGAGATCAAATTGCGGCAAGTTTAATGAACACGGCTTAATTCTTTTGATCGCCTTGTCAGTTTTTTGAACATGAAATGTACTTTTTTGTTCAACAAATTGATTACTCACTAATGCTCCTTTTAGTTGTAACTATATTGTGAATGAAGAAATGAAAAAAAAAGAATTAATTATCATAAATTTATTGTTAAAAAACTCAAAATCATAGCATTATGTTTTTTTTTAAGTTAAATAAATATTTTTAAATACCAAAACAATTAATATATTTAAGTTTCATACCATGTCTATTTTAGTCATTTTATATATCTACAGCAATTCAACATCAAAATTTACCAAACGCTATTATACTGATTTTAGAATCAGCACAGCTACTATAATTACAATTTACCAAATGCTCAATTGCTTTTTTCTTAAGCAGAGCTAAAAGTAATTTTTTTTTAAATCCACAGCAATACCAAACCCACCCATAATATGGATGCAACCAATAATTGTCATAAGTTTGAATATCACTCAACATAAGGAATTAGGCCATTAAACATAAATAAATCATCATAGCCACAGTGAACATGTACAAAAAATAGCAGTTATAAACGAACTATCACATAGCAGTACTTTCACTAAAATCAAACACGGGAGGAGATCAATAGGAGAGCCAAATTGCACAAGAATTCATGACTGAGAATGTAATGGCTTTGACAACAATTTTGAATTAAAAAAAGTGAACAAAAAAAAAAAAAAACAAACTTTGAAGTAAGAGTCGTACTTGGGTTAAGCTTACAGTTTTGTGTGGGATTACTGCCATTATGCTGTATCAAAAACTTTTTTACCATACAAGATATATGGGATTTGTATGTTACGTTTAAGAGCTAAATAAATTTATGGTTATAAAGCTTAATATCACATAGCTTTATGTTCTCTTCTTCTACAAATATCAAATTACAATATATTGTTTTCCTATTTCTTCATTTATGCTTACTGTAAAAGTAGCTTAAAATGAACACTAAAAACAACCAAGCGAATCAACAAACCAAAAGAAAAACTAGAGGTACATTGTACTCACTTGCAAATGAAGTTGCAGGAGGCATATTGGCTAGTAATCGGATGCTCGAAAAAACTTCCCAAGTGATGGAATATGTTTTCATGAGTTCAGGAAACGAACAATAAGCTCATCAAGAATTTTATCAAGTATCGTTTTACAGTAACTGATTTTAGATCTCCATGATTATTTTATGCAAACTAACGAGAATTTGTAGAGCAAAAGATACATTATTGACTATGGATGTTAAATCACACAATATCACAACACATACGAAATTAATCAAAGGAGTTAGTTCTATACTTACCGAATATGAGCCCACGGATGAGGAAATTTGATCCCATTCGAGATTTCCAAAACGTGAGGAAGGGTTAGGGTGTTTGAGGTACCGGCGACGACAACGGCAAGGGAAGGATGTTTGACGTCGCAATTGGAGAGCAGTACGCTGTGAGCTCTTGCTTCTACATTGGATAATGATGTTAACCCACCGAGGTCGCCGAACTGATGGGTTTCCTATAAATTTCCCCGTTTTGAACGGGAAACAAAAAGGATGCAAATGAAGGTGCAATATTTGGGGGCTAGGGTTTCTAATTGCAGGTGTGGGGGAAAATAGATCTGCAATTGGGTTTGGGCAGGGGAGGGAGGGATATAACGTTGAAGTAGCAAACGGGCATGGAGAAATTTTTTGAGATCTGCAGCCTGGAAATCTCGAGCAGAGGAGAAGCACATGAACGGTAGGGTGTGGAAAGAGAAGACTTCAGAGCTTCGGCAGGGAATCTCTCAGGAATCACACTGTAAAAGTTCAGAAGAGTAACTCGAGTAGGTGGGAGACCATTAACTCGAGAATGGGTGGGAAACTTGAGTTCATTTTTGAGTTTGGTCTCGAGTAAGCATACGACGAACATTAACTTGGGCCAAGTTTCTTCACTCGAGTAGGCTTTCTCGAGTAAACATAAGCAACCAAACAGCCCCTAATCTATCTCATTAAAAAGATTACCCAAAAAAAAAAAAAAACTATCTCATTAAAAAAAAGTTATTAATAATGTAATAACCAGTAAAATTCAGAAATTTGACTACTTGTCAAGTTCAAATTAAATTTATTGCTTTACCTATGGTGATTATCATTTCATCACTTTTTAATTTCGATTAGAATCTTAAAGCAGCTTATTTCCGAAAAAAAAAAATCCTAAAACAGCTTAAGCGCAGACATTTTCCAAGTATTCATCAGTGCAGACTTGCTTACCATATGGGCATTAGATTACAGTCGTTCTTATTTAAAAAAACTAAATAAATAAACAGCTAAATATATAAAAAATTAGCAAACATAGGTGGAATGCGTCCAATGATATTTCTACTTTAGGAACAAAAACAAAAACAATGTAAAAGGAACAGCCTTTGCCATCACCACTCTCTCGGTCCCCTACTCATGTAACATTATATCTTTGAGATACAATAGTTCTCATTACATTGAAAAAAAGAGAGAAGAAAAACAAGGGAAAAAGGGAAAACAAAAGGGAAGACAAGGATGGTCTGGAAGAGATTGTAAGAAGCAAAATGAGCCTCCAAGTTTTTGTTTTTGATTTTGTATTTAATATAAGAGAAGATAAAGAGCATCAACATCATTCATGAAAGCACTTTTAGCTAGGCTCTGGTGGCATTGTCTTCAGGCTTCGCATCCACTCGCAGAAACTAGGATCATCGAACTGTATAAAACTACTTTTCAGCTTCGTCCGCTGCTCTGTTGTCAGTGAGCGTAGCTGTGGGAATCTTGCCTCCTGCAATATGCGTAAACATCGGTCAGTTATGGCCTGTCTGATTGGTCTTTGAGCAAAACACAACACTCAACATGGCAGGTGGATACTTCACTTCTCACCAAACACAAATACAATACCACCCTACTCTCAACTCTCTCACCTGCTCATATGGAGGATCCCTGTGTGCTGGAATGAGCCGGGAAACAAAGTATCTCGCTTGAGAGCTCCCTTCCTGCATTGTTTGTCAAAAGAATCATCATCATCTTTATTTCCGCACAAAACATTAACAATAATTGACTATCACACAAATTTTCAGATGGAAAAACCTTGAATGCAAGTATGCGAGGGGCGGGGAATCGTGATTCTGTCAGCTCTTCAGCTAATGTCCTGCAAGCTGCCAGGACAGCTGCACTTCTTCCTTCGTCAGCCGCAAGCTCGGCACCCTGAATCCACCATTTTAAAACATACATAAATAAACGAAGACAAAACAAAAAGCTTGGAAGGAATTATGAAAATAAGAAAAAGAAGAAACTAAATGGTAAAGCATCCGCTTTCCTAGTTGCTCTTATTTTGCCATGTGGCTAAAGTTCATCTTACACTCGAATGAACCCTGAACCAATAAATTTCCCATGCAAGTAATCACAAGTAAATTATAGATTCTGCGTTCAATTTCATGATAGGGAGTTGGAGCAAGAAATTGAGTTGGAGCAAAAATTGCCTCCTGTCCCCTTACTCAAAAACATAAAAGACAAGCAAGATAAATGAGATGCTATGCAAAAACAGCAAGAAGATGAGAAAAGGTGCATACCAACCAAATGAAGACGTCTGTACCATGATCAAGAACTACAGCTGCATCAGACTGCATTGCAAGGTCGTAAGCTGGCAGTTCCTCAAAAGTTCCTCCTTCCCGATGCATTAGACAACGAGGTGCAACCATGCGAAGTGAGAGATCAAACGACGCATTCAAAAACAAGTTCCGTAGAACAGACCTCTCATCCTCATGTCCAACAATACTTCCCAAGAGAGGGCCCCTTCTAAGATGGAATAAGAGCTCTGGTAATGATGAGATCTCATTAGGGAACCGATACAGCTTCGTTTTGGGTACTTGAGTCCCATACTTCACGGCAATGTCTTTAATTCTTTCGTCTATTGTTGCTCGCATTTCCATTGCATCAGAATAGTTTTGTGCTCGCAGGAGGGTCCTCTTGGCAATAAGGACAGCCACCACTTCATCTTGAACATTCTCAAGATACGCCGAAACACTACTCACAGTTGGCAATCGGACAGTGATTACTCTTGATATATCAGCTTGATACACATTTGAAAACTGAATTGTAAACTGGAAAAATACAAAATCACTCTTAATATCTCCTTTAGTTTCCATGGAGAGCGAAAAGCTCTGTGTTTCTTCAACACTAAGCATTTGGATGTAAAGAGAAGTGTCATTTTTGAAGGTTTCATGAGTGTCGACGTGTGCCTCTTCACCAGGACCTACAACCTGAGTTATGAGAATATCATCCGAACAGCGGATCTCCAGCAAACCATGAGAACCCGCAGCCCTGGTAGATGCTCTTTGCAAATTGACACCAAAGGCCTCTCCAAAGTCGTCATGAAGAACCAAAACACCACCAGATGCTTTTGCCAGCGGTTGCAGAACAGGAACTCTTACGGGGCACGTACCAGCACATAGAATGTCAACAACTGTACTGTGTCTATGAGCCTCACGACCTAAATTTTCCATCCATTTCAATGCCGACTTTTCCATATGAGGATAATTGGGGTGACTAAAGGAATGAGGTACAGATCCAGGGCCATAAGTATTAGGTCCACCAGCACATACAATAATCCTGCTATTACCACCAGACCTTTTAATTACTCCCCGAGAAATTTCTGCAGACGGCCCTTGAATTATAGCAAGAGCGACCTCAACTGCTGTCCCGAGGCACCGATCTCTGGAAGCTTCACGAATGTTCAATTTATAAGGCCTCAGTGATGAGAATATAGCATGTGCTACAGGCAGTGAGGCATGCATCGGTGACAAATAAATGCCAGTTCCATAAATCAAAGCCTTCAAGGACTCCTGAGTTGGTGATTTCTCACCAGGAAGAACATCAGCAGACGCAACTGATTCCTCTGAAAAGTCATAAACCGAAACTGTTCGACCATACAAGATGATCCCAATTCTGGTCGTTGGAGGTAGTGAATCAACAAATGCATGCAAGGAACTCTGTAGATGTTGAAGGTGTGGTTCATCTAAGCATTCATCTATGACGAGAACAATAGGTGCAGATGATCTTGAATCAGAAACAGGAACAAACCCAGGTCTCTTGTTCCCAGTTTGAACATAATCAACTGAAGGAGATGCCAGTTCCGGAAAATTACGAAGATCTTCCTTGCTGGGAGCAATATATTCACCTTCACTTCCATTCATTATCCCGCAAATTACGCACTGCCACTGGCCTGAACCAATTAATATATTGCAATAGACATTTGCGTAAGCTCCACAATTTTGGCATCGATGTGGATCGCGTTGTATTATTTGGGGACCTGGCGAAATCTCCCTACCCGGAGAAACCAACGCCCCAAAACCCAAACTTGGAACATTTGCTTGTTTTTTCTGCTTCAAAACCTAAACAACAAAGAAGAGGGACAAGTGCTCAAAAAAATTATAATCAAATATGAGAAAGTATTGTCTAATGTGTGTCACTCCAAATATAGATCTCTGCCAGAGTCGAGTTAGATTACACACTCAGACTTAACAAACAAGTATATAACCTAATTATGTATATGCACATGCATATACACGCTTGTTTCTGAATACTAATTATGAGAAAAAAAAAAAGCTATTAATTAAATTAAAGAAATAACAGCATATAATAATTGTGCAACACACGTATGTTATAAATGTGCAATACAAGTAAATTAAGCCAAAAGATGTACTGCTTTGATTTTAAACAAAATAAAACAGGGAAATACCTTATGAGCAGAGAATAAGACATATGGTGATTCCACGACAGGAACTGAATCCTCTCTAGCATCCGAGACTTGGTGCTGAAAATCGACCGCCCCATTCGGGAAATGGGGAGGAGAAGATAAGGGGATAGATGATGAGCCGGAAGAGAAAGCAAGCGGCTGAGGAGTCGCCGGCGACGCGCGAAAAGGCACAGCAGCCGGCCGGACAGGTGAAGTGAAAACAGGAGGGCCAGGGGGAGTGCTCAAGTGAGTGATTGGGCTGCCAGTTTTGACTCCATTGGAAGGGGACGACGCTGCTACATTTGGTGATCTAATTGCAGGCGAAAGAGCTTGATCTTGTTGAAAAATTGGAGGAGGAAACTTTGGTCCGCCAGGTGAAATTGAAGGGCGAGGAATGGGGCTTTTCTCAGGTTGAGAACTCGGTTGTGGATTAGCCATTGAATTCGAAATGAAACAAGAATCGGTCAAGAACCCAGAACCAAAGGAAAGGATCAAACTTTACGGAAAACAGAACCACCCCAGTTCTAGAAAGGGTAATTTAGTTAGGAAATAATTCAGTGATTGATTCGCAGAACTCGAAAGAACAGAACAGTGCATAAATAACGCTACAGGGATCTTATTCCAGCCAGCCCTGAGGTTTTGAAGAAAAATTGAACTAATTGCAGGACTTAAACAAACTAAACCTCTCAAAACCCTGAATGGGAACGGAATTTGACAGAAAGAAATTCAGAACTCGAAAAACCCTAAGAAGAGGCAAAAAGATTGAACCTTTCTGAATCGAATTCAGATTCAGCGGAAGCGAAAGATGAAATTGGGCAATAAGAGAAAATTCAATCTCTCTCTCTCTCTCTCTTTCTCTCTCTCTCTGGGGATTCACAATTGAAGCCGATCAGATTTCCCCTCTTCCATATAGAAAGAAAGAAATCTGCATTGCATTATTAATTTGTAAGAAGCGAAATCACATAATTCGCATCAATTAGGCGTTTTATAATAAAGAAAAGGATCCAATCCAAGGTTATTTTACGCGATTACAATGGAAATTCAATTTAGTTGTTTTAAATTGACGATTGAAAAAAGACATATGGAGAATTCTCTGTACCTGATGGGATGGGAGGCGAGGATTTTCCGAAGCGGAGCTACGAGAACCAAATTAAACTCCGACATAAAAGATTAAAACAAATAAAATCAAATCAAAGACCCATTAAAATCATGGTTTTGACTAGAGTTTGCCTTCTTGATTCAGTACTTCAACGAGCTTTTTTGGTTTCCATTTTTCTTACATTCTTTTTTTTTTATTTTTTATTTTTATTTCCATTATTCGGAATTACAATTAAATAAATATTTATTCTCTCTCTCCCGTGAGATGAGAGAGAGAAAGAAAAACTTAGGTCTCGATTTGAGTTTTTAATTTTAATTTTGTTATAGTTAAAAGTTCTCATAAAAATTATATTTAATTTTTTTAATTATAATTAAAATTTTTCACGTAAAATCATATCTTAATTTAAATTGAAAACTCGAATTAACGAACTGAACGAAGCCTCGTGCCATTAAAAAAACAAACAATTATATGAGCTTCGAACAAGAAAAAAACAAAAGAGATTTTATGATACGCATAGTGTACTGATAAGTTGAGTTTTTTAACAATTAAATTAACGTACTTTTTAACTTTTACGTAATTATATATATATTTAACGGATATAAAACTTGACCTACTGATATATTCACCTATCGATTTAAAAAAACAAAAAAGGACACTATCAATCCTACTGTCTACAGTCGGACTGCAACAACATAAAAACAGACAATTACGAAATGAAAAACGACCCAAAGTTTGAAAACAGCAACCTATTGAAAGACGACATCGTGTTAAAGAACGTAAACTTTGTACAGTAAACCAACGTGATAAACGACAATGAGACAAAATCAACTGTAATTTTTAAAACAACTTTGATGAGGAAAATGACATTAATTTGAACGACAATAAATCACATTGAACAACGACAATAATATATAAACGACAGTAACATGAAGAAAGCTAAGTCGACACTGAAATTCGAAAGGACATAAGTTGAGAGCCACACCAACTGACAATAGCCTGAAAACGACACCAATGTGGAAACGACCATAACTTTTGAATAACTAAAACAAGAAATGACGATGAAAGTAATACTACGGCTTAGTTTGGTATTGCTGCGGATTTTAAAAAAATTGCTTTTAGCTGTGCTGAAGGAAGAAGCTGCTGTTACAAGAAGCATCTGAGTATTTGGTAAATTGTAATTATAGTAGCTGTACTGGTTCTAAAATCAGTGTAATAGCGTTTGGTAAATTTTGATGTTGAATTGCTGTGGGTATGTAAAATGACCAAAATAGACATGGTATGAAAGTTAAATATATATAATTATTTTTTATATTTAGAAATATTTATTTAACTTAAAAAAAAACATAATGCTATGATTTTGTTTTTTTTAACAATAAATTTATGAAAATTAATTAATTTTTTTTTTTTCATTTCTTCATTCACAATATAGTTACAACTAAAAGGAGAACCTTGTAGAAGATCATAAAAGTAGTTTACCTTGTAGAAGAGGAAAGCAAGATCACCAAAAAAATAGTTAGTAATCAATTTGTTGAACAAAAAATTACATTCCATGTTCAAAATATATAGACCCAGAAACAATAACGAAAACAACTTAACTGCAGTAAGTATCAATAAACAACACACAACTCATTAAACGACATTGTTTAGATCTGTCAAAATATATAAAGGACAATTAGAACAACAAAAGACATAATTCTAGGAAACACTATCGACATAAATACCACTATGAACCAAAATGCACATCATTCATTAGAAGAGATGACAATAATATAAGGAAACGACATTGTCTATTAAACAAATGCAAACTTGAACAGGATAATCAAAGGAAAAATTAACGAGAAAAAAAAAACTAATAAACGACATTATAATCCACACAGGATAGTAATAATATAGTAATATAAAAGTATATTACAAAAAGAAAAAAATATACGATTCCTAAATCATTATAAATTGTTTCGTTATAAAAAAGTATACAAATTGATTACTCACTACAAGGAGTATTAGTGAGTAATCAATTTGTTGAACAAAAAAGTACATTCCATGTTCAAAAACTAATAGAGCCATTAAAAAAATTAAGTCGTGTTCATTAAACTTGTCGCAATTTGATCTCGTACTTCAACCATTTCTTGTGATAGTGAAGCTTCATCTTCTTTTACATTGTCCTCCAGTTGATGCTCTTCATAAGCGAAAACATCTAGATTATCCTCGACTTCTTGAAAATGCCGATCACGCTGATCATGCATCCTAATATAGTTATGAAGTGCCATTGTTGCAATAACTATTTTTACTTGCTTCTTAAATGAATAATTAGGCATGTCTTTTAAAATTTTCCATTTTTTCTTCCAAACACCAAAAGTGCGTTCAATGACACTTCGAAGAGAAGAATGTGCTTGGTTGAATACCTCTTTACTGCCCATTGGTCGACGACCCATTCAAAATTGTGGTAAATAGTATCGTTCTCCTTTATAAGGTCCAAGAAATCCTTTCAATTGTGGATAACCCGCATCAACCAAATAATATTTATCTATTAAAATAAAAACACAAGAATTAGTAAAATGTAAAACATATATAATATAAAATATAGACAATGTTTTAACCTTCAGGTGGTTTTGGAAATTTCAAATGTCGGTTACGTAGTGCTGATAAGAATATTCTTGAATCATAGGAACTACCTTCCCAACCTGCATATGCATATATAAATTTCATACTGAAATCACAAGCAGCCATCACATTTTGGGTTGGCAGACGCTTTCTTCCGATAAATGGCACCTGATCTTCTGGTGGTATTGTAGCTGGAACATGTACGCCATCTATTGCACCAATACAATTCTAAAAAGAAGAATTTTTAATGTATAAATAAACATAATTTTAATAGGGAATGAAGCATATAAAAAGTATGCTTTTAGTAGGGAATGAAGCATATTAAAAGTATGATTTTACCTTAAAATGTGGCATATATCTACGATCCGTCAGTATCTCTATTGGTATGTCATTAAACTCTAGATCTGGAGGCTGTATAATATCGATGCTCATACGACATACAATTTCTAAAACATAATTAAAATATCTACTCACAGTCTCACCAGAGCGTTGAAATCGCTCTTGTGCTGAACGATTTCCCGCACCCTGACCTAAAATGAATAAAAACATTCCAAGTATTTCAGTCACACACATATTCCTTGATCCCTGTAATCCATACTTACTCTGTAGATCATTACATAGCTTTAAAAACATGTTCTTATCCATTCTAAACATCCTATAACTTCTAATTTCATGCCCTCTTAATAATTCCGTCACCCACATGTTTCCCGTTTGTGAAGAGTTCATACACGGATTCTTATGAACATACGTGTTGTAATTGTTGGTCTCCGGATCGAATCCGGATGCGGAAGCGGTGCGGGGAAGAGGCGGATCGTGTATAACAAAAATTTTCATAAAACTTTTGAGATACTCTATAGATTATATTAATTTATACACGAATAAATTAATCTCATTAACTTATATATATCAAGAACTCAATCAGGAAAAATACCTGGAAGCCGACTCGGATGATAACTTGAGTTCTTTGACCACGAGCAGTCCTTGCTCCAATCTTTATGTTTAGAAAACTAATGTCTTCCACGTCAATTCCTAGAATCCACGAAGACGTGTGTGTGGGCACACATGAGACAAAACGGGTTACAATAAACACTCGAATTTCCACAAACACCATCGCATGCACGATTTTTCCTTCTTCTCTCTCTTGAGAATTTCGGCCAGCCTTAACTCTTAGGGCTGAAAAATTGTTTCCAAAATTTCTATAGAGAAATTTCGGCTACCTCTAAAATTAGGGCAAAAAACCATTGCGAAAATTGTCTCAAAAATAGTATTTATAGAGTAGAAGTCAAACTTCTAGAAGGAATCCAATCTCTA